ACCTCATCATTTTTTTCTAATTCACACCAAACCTAGCTAAGTGAGTCTAATCACACTAAATATAATGTTTTATCATATTAAAAATAATAGATATTCGAGTTGCAATTAATAAAATGTATTGTTGCAATTTATTATTATTATATTTTTAACTTTTAATAAATTGAAAAGATTTCAATGTCATCATGCCAATGACTGGGCGTTTGGTTGGAGGGAGGGAATTATGTGGGAAAGGAATTGTAATTCCATGGGAGTTAAATTACTGGGAATAAAGTGGGAATTTAAATTCCAATGTTTGGTTGACAGGAATAAAATTACTGGGAATTTCAATTCCAATGTTTGGTATACATGGGAATTGAAAGGGAATAAGTAGTATAAAATCAAAAATATCCATTATTGTTGTTAGACATTAATTTTAGGTTAAAAATGAAGGGGTAATTTTGACTCATCACTATCTTTTTTTTTCCAGGAATTAAAATATCAGGGGGGATATGGGATTTTAATTCCATGAAAATGGGGGAATTGCAATTCCCTCCAACCAAACTACGGAATTTAATGGTCTTTGGAATTAGGTGGGAATTAAGTGGGAAGGGAATTTAAAATCCCTCCAACCAAACGCCCTGTAAAGGATAATAAATGGGAGTTGGGGGGGGGGGGGGGGAGGAGAATGGGGAATTTTGAAAAAAAAAAAAAAAATACTCATTTTTTCATTCATTCATCATTTGATATGAGTATATGACTAGATTGTTCATAATATTTATATCTTTTATGTTGTTCTTTTATTTATAAGAAGTATCAAGCTATTGAAATAAGAGGTGACTGATAAATCAAAACTCCATGCAGTTCAACAGTTCTGCAAACAACACAAGTATATAAAGATATCAACTATGATGGATATATGTCGATCATGTTTACTTCTGCTATTTGTGTTAACATGCATGTATATTATACGTTATGAAGTTTGGCTAGCTAGATTTATTCAATTATTTTAGATTTTATAAGGAGCACCGAAGAATTTTCCTTTGAGTAAATATAAATGAATACTCCGTATTATTGTTGTAATATGTTTATAACTATTGAAATATAATATAATGTTGATTGAGGTGTATATATATGCAATTTGTTCTTTCTTTTCCCATGCCACTCTATATATATTCTGTACTGGGTTCCATCATCATAAAATGTCAAAAGGGGTTGTGATGGCCAAGATTCCTAGGTCATTGGAAAAATATATGCAAAAAAATAAAAGATTAAATTTGATGCTGCGCTCTCAATGTCACCAATTCAAGTGGGCGAGAAATTTTTACAAGACATATAGTAAGAGCATTCATAATAATGGGACATTTTTTTAGTTTTTGTAAGTGTGATTAAAAAAGAGAATATGAGAGAAGGGAGAAAAAAAAAAGTAAAATTGAATTTAAAAATTAATAATAAAATGAACACTATCAGGCGCGCTGCGCCCAACGAGCGCCCTTGTGACATTCACGCGGTGGTGGTGAGTCTGGAGGATTTCTTTCGTGGGTCCCATACTTCTGCAAATATCTCTAACCTTGTAGATGCATCCCTTTCTTCTCTTGTACTCTCTCTCCGCCACATCCCTCAACAGTGTTCCAAAAACTCCATATAATCCCCTGATAATGGTGCTCTAAGAATAATTCTTCACATTGCTAGTATATATAGTACATTTATGCATGTACTTTTCCCTCCCATTTGAGAGCTAGGAAATTCAGAAAATACGTCTGAAAGCAGTGATTGAGTAGACATGGCATAATTATTGTACAAAAAGACGACGAATTTGATTTTTATCAACACTATCTTAGTTAATCTCATTGATCGTTGCAACACAATTCTTTCTAGTGTGGTTTATCTCTTATGTATGATTTTTGAGTTATTACGCATAAGCGAGTATAACACATGAACAAAAGATACCCAATATATACTCACAAGAAATGAATGTGAATTTCTCTCGTCATAAACATTAAAAAAAATATATATATATCCTTTAAAGTTTAGATGCTTAGATATCTCTATTATCATCATCTTTTAATTAATCGTTATCCCTCAATTTGAGAGTATAATTAAATAAAATATCTAGGAGAGTTGAAATTTATAATAATGAGATTTAAATAATTATTCAATTTAAATTATTTTTTTAAAGGAAAAATATAACAGGGTTGACAAAAGCAAGAAGATTGAGGGGGGTGGGGGTATTGGTTTAATGATGTGCACGTGTGGGAGAAGTAATCAAATCGTGTGGTGGAAAATGATGATTAATAAAATCCCACAAGCTTTGACTCATCCATGCCTAATGACATTTCTGTCTCATCATGGGACCCACTCCATTCATTGTTGTACACCACCTCAATTAATATCCGGGCCCCACTCTTTACCTTTTCTTTTTTATTTTGCAAAGTAATTCTGACCTTGTTGACTATTTTTGTCCTTGGTTTCATGTGATTTTGTATAAAGTTAGAGGCCTATAATTGTAAATGTAGACTTCCAACAAAGGATTGGAGTGGTTTACTTAGGGCTGTTAACGAATCGAACATAAACGAACGGAGGTTGTTCATGTTCGTTTGTTAAGAAATTTGGAGTGTTTGTGTTCATTTGTTAAGGTTTTTGAAAATCCTATTTGTGTTCGTTTGTTAAGCGTTTGCTAGTGTTTGTTAACGTTCGCGAACGTGTTTGTTAACGTTAACGAACATGTTCGCGAACGTGTTTGTTAACGTTCGTGAACATGTTCGCAAACGTGTTCGTTAACGTTAACAAACACGTTCACAAACATGTTCATTAACAAGCACGTTCACGAACATATTCATTTACGTTCATGAACACTTAATAACAAACACATGCACATGTTCATGATCACAATTCGTTCGTGAACAATAAATAATATACGTTCACGAACAATAATCAAACAAACAACACAACTACAAAACTAATATAATATAATATAATATATGTTTGTGAACATGTTCGCGAACATTATTAAACGAACACAAACGAGCTTGTTCACGAACATTATTAAACGAACACAAACGAGCTTGTTCACGAACATTATTAAACGAACACAAACGAGCTTGTTCACGAACATTATTAAACGAACATAAACGAGCTTGTTCACAAACATTAGTAAACGAACACAAACGAGCTTGTTCACGATCTCTTAGCAAACGAGCTTACAACTGTTCAAGCTCTGTTTGTTTATTAACCGAGCTCTAAATTTTGTTTGTTAATATTCGTTTACCTTAACAAACGAACATAAACGAACGCTTACCGAACACGAACACGAACACGAACACGAGTAGTTTGCCGAAAGCTCTGTTCGCTAACACCCCTAGGTTTACTCAATAGGTTAACGTGTTTAACATAAATTTTGAGAATATAAATAATTTATGTGTAAAGGAAAATGAATATAATATTAACTTGTTTAGTTAACGATGATATAATAATGCAAAAATTATTATAAAAATGTAAGATTTTTAAATTTTATTTTTAATAACATTATATAAAAGTTTTAAAAATAGTACATTATCTTACAACTTCATTTGAATCAAATACCTAAAAGTTATTAGAAATATTCTTCATCCCTTCAAGGGATCCTATTTGTGGAATATATGGGCACCCCTTGGCCATTTATCACTTTGTAAAGTCACCTTTGGAGTGTTTCCTTTCTAGTTGATCAAATAATTATTATAATAATAATAATAATAATAATAATAATAATAATAATAATAATAATAATAATAATAATAATAATAATAATAAACAAAAAAGTATTAGAGAAAATAAACAAAAAGGGTTAGCTCTTTTGATTAATAAATAATAAAAATAACAGGAAAATGTGATAATGAATTATAAAAAAAAAATGATACGACTATTATAAAAAAAAAAAAAACATAATTACTCTTTAGGATATTATTATTTGTATTAATAGATTATTTTTTTGAATTTATGTATTTTGAGAGTTGTAAATAATTTAGTGAAGGTTTGTTTGGAAACATTAAAAAATATTTTATAAAAACAATTTTAAAAAATATTTTCATTTTATTGTTGTTTGATTGAAAGTCAAAAAAGTTTATTTTTTCTTTTTGGTTGGATTTTTGAAAACAAGAATGTAAATATATTATAAAGTTATTTCTTATTAAATGTTAATAAGTTTAATAATAATAGGAATAATAATTATTTATATTAAAATAAAAAGTATAAATTAAAATGTATAACAGTTATAAATGACAATAATAATAAATCTAAATGAATAATTTTTTTTACTTGTAACTTTTTATTATAATAAAAATAAAAATACATAAATTGATCAATATAATAATGTGAAACTAATGAATTTTTTTTTTAAATTTTTTATTTTGTTGGGGATGTAGGTCGAGCTGGATCAATATTTTTATTGTTTGATTCAACTTGAATTGACTCATATTTAATCAGACATTAATAAATATAATAACACTGAACTACATAAATTTAAGAACAAAAATTAATTATTTTTATTGTTGGCCGAAATAAAGTTTTTATTGTTTGATTTTGTCCAACTCAATCAATATTTAATTGGTTATTGACAAACATAATACATCTAAATTAAATAAATTGAAAGAAAAAATTAAATGTTTTAGAACATGAGTTGAGTCATGCTAAAATTTTTATTATTTAATATTAATTCGACTTAATCAGACTTATATTTTAACCATTCTAGCACAATCTAGTTAACATAATAACCAGACAAATTGTTACCAACCCATTCCTTTGACGCCACTCAAAGGGGAAGAAAGATTTATAAAAATTTTGAAAATGTCTTATAGATTAAAAAAATAAAAAATTAGAAGACATTTAAGTATATTATTTTTCTATTACCAAAATAATTCATTTTTCAAGTTAAGGATAGAAAAACTGGGCGCGTGCAGGAATTGGGAGTTGCAAAAGTCAACACCAACGCCTCCTCATGGTCCAACCGCTGCGCCGCTATACATTCACACCTCAAATAAAAATGTCTTCTTTACACATTCATGGCTATGGCCGCCAAAAGGAACACCAATAAAATGACCACCCATTTTCATTTCTCTCCATCTCTGCCTTCTTAAGCTCTCTTCAATCCTCCCACACTTCACCCAACACACATTTCTTCTTTTTCCATCTCTCTCTCTCTCTCTGCTTTCGCGCTCCACTTTCTCTCTCCTTTTTGCGGTACTGCTACAGTGAGTGAGTGAGGGGGGAGAGAAAAGAAAAGGAGGAAAGTGGGGAGCTTTTTCTTCGAGTCTTTTGGTAAATACCCATTGTAAAGAAGAGGGCTTTTTTTTTGTTTTCCCAATTGAATCTCGTTGTAGAGTATGGGGAGCAAATGGAGGAAAGCGAAGGTGGCTCTGGGCTTGAATCTCTGCGCTCATGTTCCCAGAACTCGTCTGGATAATGAAGACGACGATGATGACCTGGACTCCATATCCTCCTCCTCCGGCGCCGCCTCCGTCAGGCACTCCGGCGCCGCCTTGCTGTCTCCACCCACCCCGGCCTCCAATGGCTTTAAGCTCTCTAAAAGCTTGAGCAGATCTTCCAAGGTTGTTTTCTTGCCCATTTCTTTCTTTTCAGTTTCTATATATTTCTGGGTAAATAAATGTTTTTTTTTTTTTTTTTTTTTTTTTTTTTTGAGATTTAAAACACAGATTCTGAAATTGTTTTTCTTCCTCCCATGTATGTTTGTTCCAGTTGATTGATTGATTGGATTCACTATTTATTGCAAAAAAGGAATGAGGAATCTTAGTACATATGTTCTTTATGGTTGCTGAGGAACTTATCCAAACCAATAAGTAAAGTTTAGTTTTTTTCTTAAAACATTGAAACCATGTGAGGGTAGTTCTTCATTTTTCTTTTCAGTGACAAAAACCCAGCAAAAATCAGTTTAGATTGCCCATAGCTGATCGGCTCACACCTAGAAGACCAATAGATTGGTCTGCTAAGAGTTGAACTTGTAACTTGTGGGTAGTTCTTCATATTGATCCTTCAAGGGTGGGTAAAAAAGGTAGATTTAAGCTCTATGTTTTGATGAATGATATATGAACCAAATCTGCATCCAGTTAACTTTTTTGTGCAACTTAGAATGTAGAATTTTTAGCACACTTTGTAAATTGATTTGTTTGGGTTAAAATTTCAGAAGATGTGCTCGATATGTTTGGCCTCGATGAAGCCGGGAGGAGGCCATGCTATATTTACTGCTGAATGTTCGCATTCGTTTCATTTCCAATGTATTGCGTCGAATGTGAAACATGGAAACCAAGTTTGTCCAATATGCAGAGCAAAGTGGAAAGAAATTCCGTTGCAGTGTCCTAGTTTGGATCCTCCTCCCCATGGAAGGGCTAGAGTGAATCCTGTTAACTGGCCTCAAAATAACGCGCTAATGACAGTACTCCGGCATGTACCTCCTCCTCCTCCTCGCCCAATCCCATTCCGACATGTGGCACCACTGCTTCAGGCTCCAGAGCCAACCATGTTTGATGACGATGAATCTTTGGGTCATCAACTCGACTCATCTCAGATTCAGAAACTAGCTGGCACATCAGATACTGCTGATAGTGGAGAAAGCAGAATGACAAAGATGAGCATGTTCCCGGAAGTTCCAGCTGTTTCACGGTTCAATGCTTCAGATAACTTCACCGTCTTGGTCCATCTCAAAGCTCCCGCTTCCGATTCTGGGAAAATCCTGTGTAGAAATCAGCCTGATATGCCCCAGGTTATCCAAACACCTCGGGCTCCCATTGACCTTGTCACGGTTCTTGATATAAGTGGCAGTATGGCAGGTACAAAGCTCGCTCTTCTAAAGCGAGCTATGAGTTTTGTGATACAGAACCTTGGTCCCAGTGACAGGCTTGCAGTCATTGCCTTTTCTTCAACAGCACGCCGTCTTTTCCCCCTCCGAAGGATGTCTGAAACCGGACGGCATGAGGCACTCCAAGCCGTCAACTCCTTGGTTGCAAATGGTGGAACAAATATTGCGGAAGGCTTGAGAAAGGGTGCCAAGATAATGGAAGACCGAAGGGAAAAGAACCCAGTTGCAAGTATAATATTGTTATCTGATGGTCAAGACACATATACCGTCAGTAGTTCTGGTGCCAATCAGCAGCAACCTAACTACCACTTGCTTCTTCCTTTGTCAATGCACGGTGGTGGAGAAGGTTCAAATTTTAAAATTCCAGTGCACACATTCGGGTTCGGTGCAGATCATGATGCTTCATCGATGCACTCAATTTCAGAGATTTCAGGAGGAACATTTTCCTTCATTGAAACAGAAGGCGTGATCCAGGATGCATTTGCTCAGTGCATTGGAGGCCTTCTGAGTGTTGTAGTAAAGGAGCTCCAATTAAGTATCGACTGTGTCCATCCCGGAGTCTATCTAAGCTCTTTAAGAGCAGGCAGTTACCATAACCGTATCATGTCTGATGGACGAAAAGGATCCATTGATGTTGGCGATCTATATGCTGACGAGGAAAGGGACTTTCTTGTTTCAATTAAAGTGCCTGCTGATTATTTGAGGAATGAAACTTCATTGTTGAAGGTGAGGTGTGTCTACAAGGATCCCTTAACAAAAGAAATGGTGAACCTTGAAAGTGAAGAACTTAGGATCAGTAGACCAGAAGAAGCAGGAGAAACGAGTGTGTCAATAGAAGTTGATAGGCAGCAAAACAGGCTTCAAGCAGCCGAGGCAATGGCACAGGCACGGACTGCAGCTGAGAAAGGAGACCTGGTTGGTGCGACTTCTATCCTTGAAAATTGCCGGAAGGTGTTATCCCGATCAGTGTCAATCAAATGTCATGACCAACTGTGTCTTGCGCTCAACACAGAGCTCAAAGAAATGCAGGAGAGGATGGCAAACCGACAAGTATATGAAGCATCAGGAAGAGCCTACATTTTGTCAGGCCTGAGCTCACATTCTTGGCAGAGAGCGACAGCCCGGGGTGATTCTATAGATGGGTCGAGCTTGGTTCAGGCATATCAAACTCCTTCAATGCTCGAGATGGTTACTCGCTCTCAGGCTGCGTTACTGGGCAGCCCTTCCTCTCAAAGGCCCATTCGCCCAGTTTGGCCCCTTGGGTCGCAACCAAGACCCAGGTAACATGGCCAGAAGATGAAGATCTCTTTTTGTTTTATGTTGACTTTGCCTGGGTGGGCTAAACTGGAGATATGAGAAGTCAAGATTGTCAGTATATTTCATGTGATGGAATAAAAACAAGTAATGGATGTCAGTGAGGGGTGCAATATAATTTTGGGCAAATGGTATTTGAGAAGACCAAGGCTAGTTAGGTTCTTAGATCTTTCTATCTTCCTTGTGTTTTCCTAATTGTGTTATTATTGTGGGTGCTGTACATAGGGACAGAACTTTTTATCTATGGGAAAATGCAAGTATGCAACATATGTTTGTTATTTTGCAATTTACCTTGGTGAAGTGTTAATGAATTATCTAAAGAATTATATCTCAAAATCTTAATTTCATACTAACCTGGTTCCTGCTTTTCCATGTCCAACAACAGTCTCTGCATTTGAAAATATAATGAGTAGAGAAAAGCAGAGAAGACCATGAAAACAAAAGGATGAGAGAAAAAAGATATCTTTTTTCTTGGTCGGGCCATGAGGTGCTCGTACCATACTCAGACTAATTTTCATTCACAGCGAACAGGCCCAATTAAGGGATAGAGTGCTGGCCAGTTTGATTTTTTCATACAAGAGGGGATTCGAACTCCCGACCTCTCTTAAGAGATGAGAGTGTACAGTCACTCACAAAAAAAAAAAAAAAAGCTATCTTTATGCAGGAACAAAGTAAAACAGCTACATTGACTTTGCATTTGGGGATGTAAAAGCCCCTTTTCCACTTTCACTAACAAAAGTTTTGGGTTTGCTCCTGCTTTTTAATTTTCTCTCTACCACTTGCCTTTTAAAAGGCTCAAGCACTTTGTCGCCTGAAAAAACACACCATTATCCCCATAACTGGACAATTCAAAATAATGGTAATAGTAGAAAGAGACAATGAAAAAAGAAGAAAAAAAATGCACCCTGTACCCACTGGCCTTTCAATGATCTAGAAGGCTGCTCTTTGAAACTCAATAAAACGCCTTTCATTCAAACATGTGTTCTGACTTTAGAAGATATAGCCCCTAATAGCAAAGGTATCTTTATTAACATTAAGTGCTAAAGTCAAGTTTCAACAGCTCAAAAAGTGGTATTCATAGCTACTCTAAGTGTACTCAAGACTTGCTTGAAAGAATCTAGTAGCAGAAATTTTGAGCCATTAATCAAAACTCAGCCTAGTATCAACTACAAGTAGATAAAGCCTACTACGCCTTCAGTGTCTGGTAAAAGGGTATTGTTAATGAACAGGAGAGCTGCTGGCTTTGTAGCTTTGAAGGATGAATTTTCTTGGGCTGCACCTTTTGGCCATGGCCTCAGAAAAATGCTGCCTTTTCATTTGCCCTCATTGGGCTTAGGAATTCTCTTGTATTCGTAAGTGTTTATATCAACCTTTTCTTGCAGAGCCTGAAATATGCAAGGGAAATTAGAGGACAAACTAAATAGGAGGAAAAAAAGTCAACATGTAAAATTCACAGTAAATTGGGGTATTGCTTATCTACTATGTGAACACAGACTATCATTCTACTCTAACTACTCTGCTTGAAAAAGAAATGCAAGATACCCTCCATTGCAATAGAAGCAACAACCGAACAAAAACTGGCTTCATTTGGTACTTTGCAATAACCTCTATGCACACACATATGGGTCAAAACTGTCATACCTTCAACTCATCCTCCAAACTTATCTTTTTGGGGTTATATGCATTGACAGGCCCTTCTTTCGAAAGTGCTTTTCTTGTCTCAATGATCTCCCACTCACGATCATCCTTCACTTTAGCAATATCCTTGCTGAACTACAACATTTCACAAGATTTAATCTTTAAATAAATGAAAAGTAAATAAAAGAGCATAGCAAAGAGCAACTATGTAAGAATTTTGGCACTTGAGAAAGGCAATTGTCAATGAAAAGCATAGACAATCTAAACAGTTGATCCCTTCCTTAATCTCCAAACAAGCTTTAAAATGATGGAAGAGCTACTTTCATTTTACCAAATGATGGAAGGATTCAGAAGACTTAAATATAAATTTCCTTAGCACTGCAACCTAAAAGTTCAAAGTGACTTTGGATAAATCCATCCTGGAAAGGGATGTTTCAGTTTCCAGCATAGTTTAGTGAACTATATTTAGCTAGCAACTAAACAACAAACATAATTTGACGTTTAATTAAATAAACATTTGAACCAACCTGCCTTGCAGAAGATGGCCAAGGCCAAAAGACCCAAGCACCATTAGTGAGATCATAGGAAGTCCATATCTAGTGAATGGTGATTTCCTGCCCAACCTTTTGAATGATGATGCTGAATTTTGAGATTTGTAAGTAGAGGAAGCAACATTGTCATCAACTTTTTTAGAAGGATCCATTGTTACTTGAGCCATTGTCTAACTTTGGATGTCCTACATCACAATCTGAAAGTCAGCCATTCACAGCCCTCACAAGTAGGATGGTATTTATAAACAATGTATTCTTAGTTCCACTTGTCAATCAGATCAACTCATTCATCAGAGGATTTGCAATTTGCATGCTTATATATTAAACGAACAGTGTTTTCCTATTTAGTACAACACAAGGATGCCATTTTGGCAGTAACTGACCCTCACCACACTGCACAACACCCCATTGCATGCAGGAACTATTTCCACCACAGACACTGGGTATTGGCAACTGTTCTTCTTTTACATTTTCAGTTTTCCAGAGACAGTTGCCAGGTTCAGTATCACTGGATTTGGGCAAAGCATATCTTCTTTTTTTTTTTTAAATAATAATAATAATAATAATAATAATAATAATAATAATAATAATTTCTCCATTTATTGTATCCAGACAATATTGCAAACACTAAGGTTTCTATTAAACAACTTCTTTTTCTTTTTCTTTTTTTTTGTTTGGGAAAAAAAAAAAGTAAAGATGATTCCAATTAGGGGTGTAATTGAGCTTAGCCAAGCCCCAATAATCAACGGTCAGCCTGATTCAAAAGTTGAAGTTCAAAACACAGCTCAGTTCAAACTTCAAGCTATTCAAACTCCATTGAAATTTCTTATTCAACTTTTTACACAACAAATTGTAACAACAAGCATTGTACAACCAAATAGTACAGCAAAGTTCAACAAGCACAATCAGATGAATGCAACTAATACAAATCACACCAATTCAAATAAAACAATTTTAGTAAAGAAATTAGACCATTATCATCCAGCAAACTTCATATTAATGGAGGTCAAACGTAGCAATTTGCATCCATTAAAAAAAAAATAAAAATTAAACATATGAAAATAAGAAAAATGATGATGATGAATAACCTCAACCACTCCACAAAAGTGCAACTAAAAATCAATAACTCAACACTCTTAATTTAAATCAATCCATAAACAATAGAAAATTTCATCCAAAATGAAAGGGGGATAGGTGATAGGAATAATTAATAGCGGCAAAGTTTCTCAATCCACAAGTTAACCATTTGGCCTGTGTACCAGGTTTCATGTTTTAGGAATCTCATCAAATTTCCAAAGGAATCAGAGAAGTAAGTATGTAAATGCAAAGGAAATGTGTACATCAAATCGCCTAGAGAGAGGGAGTACCTTAGATGCGAAACGGCACCGTATTACTGCTCATTGTTTCTCTGTCTGCGCTTAGCAAATGGCGGTTATCTGTTTAGATCAGAGGAGGAGAAATTTACAATTTAATAGATATTATATTTTTGTGCCCAATTTATGCTAAAATTGCGATACGTGCCCTTATCTTTTTATGATTTGTAGTATTAACAGTGCAGTGCACAAGACTTTTGGGGTGAGAATAGAGGCCCAATATAGATGCAATTGTGCAAATTGTGGGCCGGGCTGCTCTAGACTCAATCATGGCAAATTATTGTGCGGACTACAGTTTAAAATGACGTCATTGAATTTTATGACTTAAAATAATGTATTTTATGTGTTAGAAATAATATATATTATGTGTTAAAATAATAAAATTTTTTGGGTAAGAAAATATACTTTATAAGTTAGAATAATGTACGTTATGAGTTATAAAAATATATATTACAGTTGGTCGTGTGAAAATACACAAAATGATGTCATTTTTGGACTGTGGTCCACACAATAACTATTGATGGGTTACAACATGTCTATATTTTTTTTTATTTTCAAATTTCTCACTCCTTACTTGTACATTCTACACAAATAGAATTGAGGTTTTCATCACTTCTAAAGGATTCTCAGTGAGATTTGAACCTCCACATTACTGTAAAATTTGACTTTAAGGTAAGTGATCGAATCAATTGAAATAAACCTGTGGGGCTCAAAGCAGCATGTCTCTATTTCTAGAGGGGATCATATGTGAGATGATTCTAAACAAATTAGTCGAATGGTTAGCTGGATAACTTCAAAATTTCAAGTTCAACTCGATGTGTAAGTTGTTCATTGGCATATATAGATTCATAAAGGCGTTGTTTGGTAAAAAATTGGTCGCCCAATTTTGACATATTTGACCACTATTAATTGTTTAATTTATTTAAAATATCAATATAAATGTTTGGTTAATTAGCTTTTTGCAACTCCAAAAAACTTTTTCAATTAGCTTTTTGAGAAAAGAAATTATACCAAACAACTATCAACTAACAGTTAATTTATCAAACACTTTTTTACAATCAACTAATGTTATCAACTATGTATACCCTCTAATTAACACCTAACAGCCATTTTACCAAACGGGGGCAAATCATACCGCATATATTCCGATAATATTTGCCGACTTTCTGGTAAATTATAGAGATAACCATATGAACAAGTCCAGAAACACATTTGTACCATTAATTTGTCTCGTAGCTGTCAAAAGTTACAACGTTAGCCTGCTTCGCATGTTAGCAACAATAATATTTTTAGTCTATAAATAATAAGGATGTGATGCATTTGGAATTTAATGGAAGAAAATTCAATACAAGTAACCGTGAGAGGGTGAAAGCTGGAGAGAGATGACTCTGAAACTTCAAACACATTGTTTTTAAATAAATAAATTCACACATATATAATATAGAGTTAATTTTATTTTGGTCCTAAATTTATAGGTGACAATTCATTTTTAATCTGCATTTTTTAAAACTTCTATCTTTAGTCCTAGTATTATTGTTATATGTCAATTTTTGGTCTTTCATCAGTAAAATCGTTTAAATTTTGTAAAATACAAGGACATTTAGGTTTTCAATTATGATTTTTTTTTTCAAAAAAATACAAATAAAAATATAGCGGGTTAATCCACTTTGTATAAAAATGATCGAAATAATCTTTTATTTAACGATATTTTAACGATTTTGTTAACGGGAAACCAAATATGGTCATGCCATAATAATACTATGACAAAAAATGAATGTTTTGAAAAAAAAGGACTAAAAGTAGATTGTCACCTACAAGGCTATAAATCTATGGCAAAAAATGGAATTAACCCTATAATATATCTTCTTTTTTATTTTTTATTTTTCTCGTAAGCAAGGACAGTCATGTGCTGATTAAAAAAAAAAAAAAATTGTAAGTGGGGACAAAGTTCAAATAATTTTAAAAAGTCCATGACAAATTATCAAACACAATCACACAAATAATATGGTTCTAATACGTAAAATACACTATAAATTACAATGCAATATTTATGTTGAATTATAAAATCCTCAAAAGTAGATTTTAAAAATAACAATAATAATTTCCCCATAACTAAACCAAATAAATGTATTCATATCATTAATCAACCATGACACAAATAAATTTCAGAAGCAATCATGACATATAATTTAATTATAAGACTTTAATCCTTTAACCAGATCATACTGAAAACTACAGACAACAAAAAACTCATAATCACACTACAATAAATTTATTAGTACACCAATATTAACCAAATTATCTAAATCATTGCAAGAATTCAAGGTGCCTGCACGGATATTATTGAAAATGGGTACAACAAACACCCACGTAACTATAATTAAATGATGACAATTATACATTTATATAAAAAATCAATTAAGTAATACGGAGTAATTAATGTTACAATTTTTTATGTGGATACCTTAATAATTAGGCTGCAATAATGATATGATGTATAGATTAGATAAACATGGTTTAGTACACCTATACACCTTTGTTTTCTTAAAAATTAAACCATTATCATATAATCAATGACAGTGCAATTTGGCTTTTCTTCAAGCCTCATACTTGAGGGACATTATGTTTGTTGTTGTCTAAGATGTCACTATAATTTTGTCTTATCCTTTGCAACAATCTCCTACTGATATACAAAATTAAGAAAAAAAATCTAAATAATAAGAATGTTAATTGTTATAAATAAAAAAAAAATGTGATATTTTCATAAATAGTAAAAATATAACTATATATTATTCTAATTACAAAAATATTACCAACTTTTTTATTAGATCACACATTTAAGAACACCTCTTCTAATAGTACTGTTGTTAGTTTTGTCAAATCGGATTGGAACAGGTTTGCCAAGTAACTACTGAGTAAGTGAGCCTAAAAATGCTAGCATACCCTGTCACCACCAAGGCTCGTGGGCTTGGTGATGCCACTTGATAAAAATTTTAAAGATTAATTTAATTAAAAATAAATTTAAAATTTTAATGACTGGACAATAAAATGGCTTAGATAATTAAACAAATATTAATACAAAGTTTAAAAATTAAAATGGTAAAATTTAAATAGAAAATTAATTAACAACACCAACAACAACAACAACAACAACAACAACAACAACAACAATAATAATAATAATAATAATGGTAGGTTTCTAAATTTCCCGTCCGCTCCAACCTCATTAAATGGTGGGGCAAACAGATTTGACAGGCTAAACTCGTTTTGATAGCTTTAGTTATTGTATGTACACAAGTAATTTCCAACCTTATACATAATTGACATAAATCTCTTCCACGTATTTGATAGTCTTATTATATGAAATATATAATTTTTAATTAAATTGAAGTTTTAGGGTCAAAGTTTTGATGGGAACACAATTAAACTTGCTTCTTGTACTTCTTACTCCACTGCTTAAAATATAAGAGGAAAAAAAAAAACCAATGAAATCGTGTCTCTTGAATCATGGCATTGCCAAATATCAAGTTGGGAGCATCTACCAACCACAACTAAATGCTAATTATAATGCGATAGTATTTGCACTAAAATAATATTGAAAGCAACGTATTATAAATATAGCATAAACAATTAATAGCGCCCATTATAATACAAAATGGGATAGGAGAGAATATTATTATTCTTCCAAGTAAACAGATTATACGTGCACCTTGTAAATATGGTATTCAATGGAAGAGAGTAGGTTATTAAGGAATGAGTGTAAAATAATTTGGTTAGAATCAAGATATATCATGTGTGATTTGATATTTAATAATTATATAATAGTTATGTACAAGTAGCGAGTATGTATGTATTTTTGAAACTGGAAAGAAGAGTAGAAGACCTCACAATTAACAATAGATTTGTTGTTCGCATGTGACAATGATATATTGGAAATTTTTAAAAGAATGTTGAAAATTAATACAGAAAATAGATGCTCATTAACACGTTTTTCGTTTTAATTGGTTTTTTATGACAAAAGAGAAAAATGTGAAAGAATAAAGCAGCAAATTTCACAGACCATTCAAAGGATTGAAATAACCTTTAATGAAATTCAATTGTTTTGTTTCTTTGCCAATACGAAACATGTTTAATGCTTTTATTACTAAAAAATTGTTCCTAGCAAACACATCCCATTTTATCACTTTTTCAAAAATTTTATTGGTTCCAAACAACGTCTTATTGTTGTTGTTTGGTTAGTGAAATTTAGTTGTAAATTCAAATGGTTTTTGTTTTTGGGGAGATCGAGAGATGGGATTAAATATATCTTTATGTGTTTGTGCGCAAGTGTATAACGTACGTGTCTATTTGTTATGCGCGCTAATAATTACTTTAATGCTTGTCACATAAATTTACTAGTTACTGCACTTGTCACATAAATAATGAGTGATTTTTTTGACTGACAAGAAAAAATCACCATCATTGTATGAGGGTATATATTAATATACCAGATAAACATTGCATTCTAATTCTGATTAGCAAATGATTACAATGAAGTAAATTAATTTAGATTCAATTTAAGTTACTCATAAAGTCATAACTGACCAATTCAAACCTATAAGATTAATAAACCACTCTTGATCATTGTGTTTACGTGTTAATTCCATTAGAAGTTTATTGTCTTTGGTAGAAATTTCAAATTTAGTCTCAAACTATTATTTTTGTCATTTAACATCTATACTATTATTTTTGAACACTTTTAGTCATTCTCATGACTTTTACTATTTTTAGTAAGATCATTTTTTATCTTTTTATATTTATCTTTTTGTTATTTGTTCGATTTCAACCGGTTTAATTGGGTTATAACTTTAGGTAACATCTGATTTTTAGTAATCATATTTTTCAACTGACTTTTAGTAAAGTCTTAAACCAATTAAACCGGTTGAAACCAGAAAAATAACATAAGAAAAATATGAAGAGACAAAAATGACCTTACTAAAAATAGGAGAAGTCATGAAAATGATTAAAATTGTTTAGAAAATAATGGTTTGTGATATTAAAGAGCAAAAAAAATAGTCTGAGATTAAATTTGAAATTGTCACCAAA